AGAGAATATTGTTGGCCTTGACCTGGATTTTTCCATCACAGAGAAAATTATCAATCCAGCGGGTTATTCACCCATATACATGTATGCCCATGGCTTGGAGTTTAATTATGATCCCTTTACGCCATAGCATATCGTAGGCCTTCTCAAGGTCAAGAAAGACTGTTAGAGTACTTTCTTTGTTAGCACGGGCTTTGTTGGCGGACGACTCAAGGTTGAGAATGTGATCTTTTGTGCTACGTCCTTTACGGAAGCCGCTCTGTTTCTGGCTGAAGAGGTCATGTGCTTCTATATACCACAATAAGCGGGAGTTAACCATGCATTCCATTAGCTTGCATAGGGTGGAGGTGAGAGCTATTGGGCGGTAAGATGAAGGGTTGGCTGGATCTTTCCCTTGTTTGAGGATAGGAATGAGAATAGTGTCTTTCCACTGCTTAGGGCATTGGGAGGTGTACCAGATCATGTTGAAGATGATGAGTAAGTATTCCCTGATTGTAGTGGGCAAATGTTTGATAACCGCATTGCTGATTTCATCTTTCCCTGGTGTTGTACATTTGGAAGCTTCAATGGCATGATTCAATTCGTCAATGTTGAACGGTTCATTAAGGACTCCATCATTGTTGTCTTGAAACTTGAAAGTGCTTTCCGCCTCGTTTTTGGTGTTGATGAAAGAGGGGTTGTAGTTTTCATTGCTACTGATTTTAGCAAAATTATCAACAAGGGTCTCAACTTTATCTTTATCAGTGACAACGTTTTTACCATCATAATTAATGACCGGAATGTTGGTCTTTTTGTGAGAAGGGTCAATACGTTTAACTTTGTTCCAAATAAGTTTAGTATTAGTTCCTGGCTTAAGGTCGTTGCAAAATTGTTCCCAGTCTTTTCTTTTTGCAACTTTGATGGTTTTTTTAGCGATAGCACAGGCTCTTTTGTAGTTTATTAGATCAGATGGGAGACTAGTTTTTCTCAGTTTTTTTAAAGCCTCCTTTTTGTTTTGTATAACTTTCTGACATTCGTCATTCCACCAAGTGG